TATCGATATTTATACTAATTTCGACTATATTTATAGAGCTATTACGTTTTTATAACTATATCGTTTATAGGTCTAATATATTCATATAGTCTATATCTTTATAGCGTTTCGATTATAAATAGTCTTAATAACTAAGCTTATATTTCTTCTCGATATCTATATCGAGATTAATATATTTATTATATTTTTATATATAAGCCTAGTTTTTATATATAAGATTCTTTATCTTAATAAGACTTAGACTCTCTATATTAAAAATAGAACGAGTTATAATTAACTATTTATTCTTTTTTATATTAGTCTTAATCTTTACTTTTATATATTATTTCGCGAATCTTTTAATTTTCTTTTCGATTAATTCCTCGATAAATTATTAGTACTCGAGCTATATTTCTATAATATATTTCTTTAATTTAGAAATTATCTAATCTTTAATTAATAGATTAATTAAGTTATAGTAACGAAGTTTCGATTTTTTTCATATATCGTCTATTAGATTATTATTCTTAAAATTATATTTAATATATTTAATAATATTCTTATAGAATTTAAGAAATAATTAATTTTCTTAGTTTATTTAATTATAAGTATATCGATAGATTATCTTAAGAATAAATAATAATATCTTATATACGTTACTTAGATAATTTAGAAGATTATCGATTATAGAGTATAAGCGATATCGTCGTTTAGTAGATATATACTAACTAGCTTTCTCTTTAAGTCTCGCTATAATATAGGTAATTTTAAAAGTATTAGTAGGGAAATAATTATTATTATAGATAAGCTTATCTTAAATTCTTATTTTTCAATTATCGAATGATATTAAATTAATATTTATAAAGATAAATAAATCTAATAGTCTTAAACTAAGTAGCTATCTAATTTGCTATTAAACTAATTATAACGATATTAGTCGATATCGATTAGCTCTAAATACTTTAAAATTCCGTAATATAAGTAATAATGGAGACGGGGGTGAAAAGGTAGAGATGCTAGCCGAGTTCTGGGTCTATATCTCTTTTTATTATTCTAATATCTCCTGCGAAGGAGAAGAGGCTGGGATGCCAGGCGGATTTTGGCCTTGTATCTCCTCCGGATGACTTGATGTCTCACGATATCGCTGGTAAAGGTCCTTAGCAGATAGAGAACGCTGCACACGTGGTATATGGAGTGACGGCGAGTTGGGAGGTGAGTATCTTCTATGTAGGTCGTCGTATGTTAGGAGCAGCCCCTACGGGGGCCCTGCGACGTCCCTACGGGGCCCTATTTAGGTCCAAATAGGGGTGTCTGGCTGTCAAGCGCAGACACCCCCGGGACCAAGCTTTTTTAGCTGAGTTGCTAACATCGTATGTGAGATAAGGGTGGCTATGGTATATAGGTGATCGGCGATGCGGAGGAATGTATTTTGGTGTTGATGTAGGTGGATTTGAGTGAGAATTTGAGGAACTCTGTTGAAAGTAGGATACCAGACATGTTAGAAATTGATTGAAAGACTGATTATTGATTCATGGAATATATGGATATTTATATATATAAAATAGGTGGCTAATAGTAACTAGTAATTACTAGCCTCTAGTAATACGCGATATATATATAATAGCCGAAGGGGCTAATATTATAACACTCCCCGATAGCTCTAGAAGCTAGATTCCCTAAACCCCAGTACATCGTATCTTATATATATCAGTTTTCAAATCTACGCTTTATATTCGAGATTAATTATTTACCCGATCTCGTTAAATCTATAAAAAACCTCGATAAAGAAAATAGAAAGAGTGCCGAGGCTTTTGAATACCCGTTTCGAGATCTCGAAATAATATAAGAATTTTAACGTTATAATTATTTTACTCGTATTACTTCAAGATCTCGAATAAAATAAGAGTTTTAACGTTTTACTCGTATTGTTTTAAAATCTTAAAATAATATAAGAGTTTTTAATTAATTCGAGTTCTCGTATAATATAAAGGTTTTTTATTTATATTATTTCGAGATCTCGAATAAAATAAGAATTTTAATTCGATATTTTTTATATAGAAATTAAATAGCGATAGCTCTCTCGTCGATAAATACGAGCTAAAAAAATAGGCTATCGTTATAAGATATATCTATTTATAAACGATTATCGAAGACTTAGTTTAATATTTATATTAGAAAGTATAAGAATATTCGATACTATTCTACTCGCTTTCGAGCTTATAATTTATAAAATATACGAATATTTATATATATAAAATAGATGGCTAATAGTAGCTAATAATTACTAGCTCTGATAATACGCGATATGTTATACGATAGTCGAAGGGGCTAATATTATAATAAACTTATAATATATTAAATATAGATAAAAATAAAGCGGAGAAGATAGACGTAAAAATGGCGATTTTAATTAGGCTTCCTCGTTCGAATAGTATCTTTTTAAAGTGAAATAAAGAGATCTTTAAAATATTAGTACTGTGAAGGTGTATGCGAGTTAAGAAAGTTAATAAATCTCTATATTAAGAGTCGAAGTTTGACTATAACGCTCGAGGGGTTTTATTACACTCGTTTCTTAATCGATTAAATTATCGTAAAGACTATAAGTACTCTAAATAGTATTTTTTAAATAATAGAAAGTTCGTCGATAGTCTATTATTTGACTATAGATTCTTTACGAGAAACGAAGTAAAGAAGGATTTCTTATATTCGATATAGAGGACTCGTTTTTTAATAAATTAGACTATCGTTAATAATGTAGATTATCTAATATAGATTCTTTCGAATAATATAGATATCTAATAATTTAAATGTGTAATAAAGTTTCTATATAGTAGAAATACCTAGCGTTTTCTTTATTAGACTCGATCGCTTACTTTAAATAGAAAGTAAAAAACTCGTTAATTCTCTTCGTCGAGGGATATATAAAGAAGTCTTATTATAATATTAGAACTAGCATAGATATAATACTAATATAGATGGAATAGATTAAGAATAATAAGGCTATCGAACTATATAGATGAAAAGAAGATATAATATAGTAGAAAATATCTTCTATTAAGACTCGCTAGTTATAGAGCTAAGAGATATATTAAGAATACGCTCGTAATAAGTAATATCATCTTCGATATAATAGCTATATAATTAATCTAATAATTTAAAACTTTCTCTTTAGAAAAATAGTTAATAATTATAAATATTCGAAGAATAAGATTATATCTTCTTTTAATACTTAGTTAAAGTAATAGTATAAACTAAGATCTCTTAATAAGCTATATAATATTATTATTTAAATTATAAGAAGTTCTTAGCGAATATAATTCTTTAAAAATCGAATTAAGGGTCTTATATTACGACGTAATAATAAATTCTAATAAAATTCTTAATACTTAATACTTAATTAGACTATTAAAAAAATCAAGGTTATTATTATAATTATTAATAAGAAAACTAATCTTTAGAAGAATCTACTAATTACTAAAGAGTAGAAAACGCTTATTTATATTTATAATTTTCTACGCAATTTTTATAATATTACTAAAATAATAAAAGGTTATCGAGCTACTCTAGAAGAAGTTTTTTCTATTATAAACTTTCTAGTTAATATATTTAAAGACGCCATAAAGTAATTCGCTAATTATAAGTTTATATATAAATCTCTTTAGATCGAATTTATTAAGCTATTAAAGTATTAGAATAAGATGAAAAAATTATTAATATATATCGCGATTGTTATTCTTAATTCTATAATTAAATAAAGCTATTTTAATAACTAAGACTCTAAATAATAATTAAATATAAAGACTATAATAAAGAAGTTTTAGAAGATTAAATATCGATTCTTTATTAGTCTAATAAGACCTTTTTCTAATAAGTTTAATAAAGAGATTATAAATAAGTATTTATAGTAAAAGAATAAAAATAAGAGATAGAGAACTATAGTCGATAACGAACTCGATCTATATATTCGCGATCTCTTTATACTCGTTAATAATATAATAATAATACTCGACTAATAGTTAGAACCTTAATAACGTATTTAATATTCTCTATTATTAAAGATAACTATTAATATCTACTTAATTTCTACTATATTCTTAAAGTCGAAATATATATTTTTAGAAGCTAAGTATACGATATTAGATTAAAGAAATAATCTTAAAATAAAGACTATTAAACTATTAGAGTATTTAAAATTATAGTTTTAATTAAATATCTTTACGAAGATAGATCTATATATTATTATTAATATTTTAAAAGAAGACGATATTATAGAAGCTTTAGAAGAGTCTTTATATAAGTAGACTAATAGTTTAAGACTAGTCTAAATTATCTAGACTAATCTAGACTTTAAACGGATTATAAACTATTTATATAGCTTCAATTTAGACTAATCCGGCCGTCAGAACTAGTAGTCCAAACTATCGGGCGCCTTGATCGTCAGGGCTCAGAATACCGACGACATCACGAATCCTGAGCATCTGATTGGCCGATGTCAACTGATAAGCCCTAGCGTGATCTTCCCTACAGTCATACCCGTTTCTCGGCCGTCCAATCGAACCATTCTGCATATACAACGTGACCTAGGTATAATCCCGAAAGATCCAGTAGAACGGGTAAAAGTTCGGGAACCCAAGGAGAATCAGTCGGGTCTCAACGAGGCCCTGTGAGAGTTGGAAATGGTTTCAAGAGTGATATGTTCAGATGCTATGCGATATGTAGAGATGGCCGCATCACGCCGGATACAGAAAGCCACGCGATACCTGATGGTACCAGTACAAAAAACCGAAGCCGCAAAGCTGATCCCGCTCCTCAAGTTCATCCGAGACATTTCGCAGCCCGACTCCCCTGCCCTCCATTACTGCACACCGTGATATCACCGACTTCCCTCTCTCTATGCAAGCAGGACCCATTTGGCATCAACTTCCCCAAGCAGAACAATACCGACACTCTCAACGGTAGGAATGAGACATCTGGGCAAGGAGGATCATCACCTAGAAGTGGCGACGTTGCGTCTGCTGCACCTAAACCTCTCGACCTTCCCACTCCGTCTTGATGTTTTCCAGGTGCTGCTTCACCCCCACCATATCATTGATGCTTGGAAAGAACGATCGCATACCCGATTCGACGGCGCTCAATTCCGTACCCTGTTGCAGCAGATACCGCACCCAACCCGTCATGACATCTGTCCATCCAGCCGGCTGCTCGGGGCCTTGCACCCGCTCTTGCAGCGAGAGTGGTCCCGACAGCGGAGACAGATCCATCTCGGTGCCGTCTTGGCGGTGTAGTTGATTCTGTACGATCGCGGCATCTGCAGAGCTGTGAGCTATGTATACTCGCTTCATCCTTGAGATCCAACTTACTATCTCGGAGCTTTGAAAGGATGTTAGCAAGGTCTTTTGAGGCTTTACTTGGTTCATTCCCATGTACCCCTTGCAATTCAGGAGCTTGCTCTGAAATGTGCTTTAGCTCATGGATCGAAACCCAGCCACGTGGGATCGGACCAGTCGATGGAGTCAAGGTCGAAGGGGTCAGACGTACCCTGAATCGATGCATCCGTCCCTTGGAGAGCATGCGCGGTCGCAGCGTCCATATATTCAGGCTCGTTCTGAGACCCTGGCGCCGTAGGCTTCGGTGTGGTTGTGAAAGGACGTTCGGTGGGTTTTTGTGTGCTGTTAGATGTGGAAGTGTTGCTGAAGGGGGTCTGAGGATTATCATTCAGATCGCATGGGAAAGTACTGTTTCCGTTGAGTTGGAGTAATGGGGCCGCACTTAGTCCGCCATTTGCACCAAATGATGGCCCTGAAGCCGGCCCTGACCCAGTGACGGCGCCTTGCTTTCCCTTTCCCTTATCACTGTTTCTGTATATCCTCTCAAGAATATCCTCTTTCATGACATCTCCGCGCTCGCCCGCGAGGATTTTGGTCAGACCACCAATAACCGCATAGCATTCAACCAATTGTGCATGCAGCGCTGGTCGCTCTCTCGGATCCAAATAGTCGAACGCATCGGAGCTCGCGACAACTCGATCCAGCCTACCCTGGAAATCCTCATAGTCGACCACGGCGCCTTCCTCGATCGTAGATCTGATATCTCGCACCGCTTTATTCGCAAGGACGAGTTCATTCAGGAGATTGCGATGCTTTTCGTCAAGGCCCAATGTGGCTATTTCGTTGAAGAGTTTTAAAGCTCGAGCCAGTTCCTGCGCCATGAGAGTGATCTGCGCCCCGCTCTTGGTCTGCCTGGCCAGTGCTTTCTGATTCTCGTAGGCTACGACGTCTCGGCTCAACCGCTCGTTCTCTGCTCTGACGGTTTTGAGAGTGCTTTCCGACTCCCGTTTAGCGTCAAACGCTTCTTTCAATCTCGCCTTGTGCAATTCGATGTACCCATCTCGCTTTTTGACCTCCTCGTGCAGAAGGACCTGGTTCAATGGACCTGTGTCATTCTGAGCTCCTGATTGAGTCTGGGAAATCGCATGCTCGGATTCGAATTGGGTCTTGTAACTCGCTATCTCCGTTTCGAATTGGGTCCGGGACTGGGTCTGGAGCAACGACCGCTCCACCTCGACAGCGCGCGACACAGCTCGATTAAAAACCCACCTCACTTGACATTTTCTGACCTTCATTTGCTTCTTGTGCTCCACTCCAGTCCGACGACGGAGCCTCTGCAGTTCTCGATTGGAGTGCGACTTGAGCTTCACCGCAAACTGCCCCCTTAGCGAGCATGTCCGAGACTCCGACTGAACCCGGCCAATTTCCCGCTCCGCAGCGAGCGCTTTCTGCTTCTCCTCCTCACACTCTCGGCGAATATCCTGCTCCCTAGCATCTCGCCCATCGGTCACGCGACACTTCGCACGCTCCTTATCAAGCGCTTCTTGCTTCTCCTCATCACATCGGCGCCGAATGTCCTGCTCCCACATCTTCTGACCCTGAACCGCCGCTTCCCAAGCTCGAGCCCACTCTTGAATATCATCCGTCAAACAAACTATCTTCTCCCGGAGTTCACCGTTCTCCTTGCGTAGTTGTTCGACAAGCACCGACACTCCCTCCTCTCCAGACGGTATGAACGTGGGTTGCTGATCCACGTTGTATGCGCTCAGGACTTTGTCTTTGGCATCCTCTTCTTTCTTGGTGCACAACGACTCCCAATATGCTGCCCTCTTCTCGGTAACCACGAGCTGGTCCTGGAGCCCTTTGGCACGACCTCCAGCTTCCAATGCCTTTGAATCCGCCTTTCCCCGCTTCGACTCCAAAGCTTCATTCTCCACTTTGAGCTTCTTGATTTCACGATCGGCCGCCAGCTTCGCGCGCTCAACGCCATCTTTCTCCTTGATGGCTTCCCTCTTGGCCTTACAATCATCTTCAGCTTCGGCACCTAGACGACGGATCTCGGAATCACGGTCGTAGATGCAGGTTTGCAGGGTTTTGATTTCCTCGTCTTTGGCTGCTAATTCCTCCACCCTTTCTTTCTTCGCTTCGGAGAGCTCCTCACGGAGCGCATTGGCTTCCCGATTGCAGTCGAACGTGAAGGTTTGCGCAGCCCGTAGCTCTTTGATCTTCGCTTCGGCTACGGCCATGTCTGTGTTATGCTTGGTCCATATTCCTGTAATCTGGCGCTCCGCCGCGGCTGCCGCGTGCGCAGCTGCCTCCTTCTGAGCCTCCAACTCATATTTGCTTTCTCGCAGGCTGCTCTCGTGTGCATCGGTAGCGCGAGCATTCTCCATAAGCATAGTGTCTTTGTCTCGCTCTGATTCTTGAACTTGACGCTCGAGGTCATCGATCTGTCGTTGCATCGCGGCTCTTGCTCGGACAGCCGCCTTCTTCGCATCTCTCACCTCGTGCTTTCGCGCCTCTGCCTCCTCTGTCATCTTCTTTATGGTCATTGAAGCTTTGTCTTGCCATTTCAGATGTTGCACGTTGTCCTGTCGTAAAGTCCAATTCTGTCCGATGAGTTCTGGGTCAATGCGGTGTGTTATGAGGTTCGCGATTTCTGTTCCGATGTGTGGACCCGAGTTCTCCTGTTGGTGCTCATCATTCTGGTCTCTGAGATCGGTGTCATTGGTCGATTCTAGGCCAGACTCCGCGCCACTGGTGACCTCTTCAACACTGACGTCCTTGCCTGCAAAATCTTGGACGGCACCAGAATGCTGGGGCTCGATCCATGCCACTATCCCGGTGTTTTCTTTATCCGTTGAACAAGCTTGCGCAGATGTGGCATGTAGGTCGACGGAAGGAAGCGAATAGGTGGAATCGGGTTCCGTCTTCACGACTTCAAGGATGTCGTGGTCCTCCAACGCGCCAATAGTTTCCACCAAATCGAGGACAGCGTCCCAGATATGCTGTGCGAGAGACATCGCTGTGACGAGAAGCTAGGTGTCTAAGTCACCACCACGGGTACAAGACGTAGGTGTTGAGATTGAAAACGCAAGAAGGTGTCATGGAGTGGATGTAGGAACAGCACGGTAGATGTGGTTGTATGTACGAATATGAGAACAGGAAGAATAACGCGAGTGCGTTATTGTTGGTGGTGACAAAAAGAGCGTTGGTACTGTTGTCGCTGTCCGTTGAACAAGTGAATGCCTTCAACCTCTCAAAAACTTCGCTCGGCCAATCGAATTTCCGGCGTGTGTCATCAGCCTCGGTAAAGGCAGCATTACCGCGCAAAAAGTGTTAACACTTTATATTTATACCCAACATAAGATTTGTTTTTCGCCGACAACCCATGCTGCATACTTCGTGATGGCCCATCATCAACTTTGACAAGCGACCCTAACTATCTCTCTGAGGTTGAAGACGAGGAGAAGGAGACCGGAAGAAGAAATTCAGATCCTTTTACGCTACGCGACTTGGGGACAAAGAATGCTTTCACGCCTTTTTTTCTCTTTTCCCTTTGTTGCTGTCAAAGCTGCGACTGCCGACTTTGATGTCCTGACAAACTCCAATCAACAGCATCGTTAGTAGGTAGGTTGAAGTAGACGGGTATTGGACTACTTATCCAGCAACAGTCCAACTTTGCAATCCTCTTCGCAGTCATCGTTCCCGCCCGGGGCGTATAGGGTACTGAATCACCATGCCCGCTCGCACGATGAGATCGATATTTCCTAAGAGAATGAGCACGAGCATTCAAGCCACAAGGTAATCAATCATACGATGTGTAGCCCTCCACGTTCTGCATTCCTCATTCCCCCTTCCCTTGCCAGAAGTGCATATCATATCAACCATTTCATTCCATCAACTCCACGCTCTCAAACCATATCAACCCGGCTATCAACCCCTCCCTGAGACCAAAGCTCTTCGCTTATTCCCGCGCTCCATCCCTTCTACCCAACATCGAGCGTCGCCGTGGTCGTCTCGGCTGTTATGGATTCCTCGCCAGGTGGAACGCACTATCCCCCAATCTTCTCCGGTATTCGTTCCTCCCAAACGGACAAGAGAAAAACAGTGAAACGCTCAAAGAGTCACGATAAGGCCGGTAAAACATAGTCTCAAAAAACATAGCACGTAGACAGGGTCGAGACCAAAAAAGGGCATGAAATCCCGCGTCGGTAGTTCAAAGCCTCCGAGTCTGAGTGCGAAAAAGCTTCTACGTTGACAGATGCGAACAATCTGGCATCGGCACTCGTAGAGTAGTAGATACGAGGAGGACGAGCGGACGCATTAACATATACTAGGGTTGGGAGGGACAAGGCTGGACAAAGGGCATACTTTTAAGCTGGTGAGTATGTATAGCCTAGCACTCGTGTCGAGCACTCAAGCCAACACGAGGAGATTCCAACCCGCTAGCATAGTCCCCAGGCCTTCACACCTGAAATCGCACATCCACTCACTCGAAGCGGCCTCAATCTAACCGCCAACCTTTTCCCCCACGACGGAAATGTCATGCGTGACCAGAACGTCCCCGCTGCCTTCCCGAACATCGCCTACTCCCACGTTGACACTCTCGCCGTCGCGTGTTTCCCCTCGCACCATCATGTAGGGATCCTGGAACGCTTTTGTCCGAACGCCATGCCCGCTGCCGCTCGGGTACCCGTCGTGCACTCTTTTGTTGCTGCCATCGTATGGTTGGCTGGTGGTGAATGCGGAGTCGCCGAGGATGGCGACCAAGAGGGGTCGGAGGGAAGGGAGGCATGCTGGACGTCTTGTCAGAGAGGAAGTCGGTGGCCGAGAGGCTTGTGGGGCGAGAGAGAGGAAGAGGAGGCGAGATCTTGCCGTGCCAGAAGGAGGGAAGGAGGGAAGGGGAGAACTACCTGACACGATGCCAATGTTGACTTCCACGGCCGTCCAGGTTGAAGAGCCGATGAAAAGCCAGGTGACGTCCGTGGACGAGGTGTGGAAGAGTTGGGTGGCCATTATATAGAGACGGACGATTGAAATGATGCAGATACTATTGGGGAACATGTCAGTATCTGGATGGCATTCGGTCTTTCATTGAAGCAAGACTAGTGTGATAAGGAGGTGCGAAGAGAGTGGGTGCTTACAATCCACCAAGTCCAAAAACACCGCACAAAGCAATTTTTTGCGCCCTTCGTTGATGGAGGCGCCATATGTACGGGATTGGGAGCAACAGAAGAGCCCAATCCGTGACGATGTTGGGCACCGCATTACCAATAAAGAAAGCGTAGACGTTCACGGCACATGTAGGGTTTGTAGACTTGTCCCACTGAGAGATTGTTCAGTCAGTGCCTCTCTTTCGGAACATAGCCTTGAGTAGGAAGACGTGACAAGCAGGGGTCCACTCACAAAGCCTTGGACGGGGCTGCATTGGAAGATTGTGGTAACAACCTAGTCAAGCGACGCTTAGCGAAATCTTGCTGGAGCGTAGAAAGGCTTTAGAGCATACCACTGCGATGGCCCATCCCGTAACAATCGAGGCCAAAATCATTATCGGGATCCGTATACTTGTCTTTCCAAAAATTCGTATGAGGAACAGCAAAATTGAGAACTTGGTAAGGCAGAGCGTCAAGGTATAGAGTATCTCGCAGACGAACAGGCTGAGGTAGAAGTGCTTGACGCCTTCCAGCCCGTATAATTCGATGTGCCTCCCGACTCCACGACGAACCCCTGGCGAATTGTTCCCCAGTCAGTCTCATTACATGGCAAGCGTGATGATCTGCTTACATGTTATCATGTCAACAAAGTTCCCAGTCGCACAAGCCAAAGATGCACAAATGGCATAATCATCGAGCCATATTCCGGCTTTGGAAAAGTATTTCCGGGCAGAGAGACGAAGTCCAACTGCTAATACAGCAAGCGCGTAAGTAGAGATGTAAGCGCCATAAAGTTGTGGTTGACGATTCTCTGAAAGATATGCTTTCTCCTGTGGAGATGTCATACTTGTAGAGTATGGAGGTAGAGAAGGAAAAGGTCGAGCGTGGAGAAAGAGGAATAAGCGGGCTACTAACATCAAGCACGAGATTTAGAGTAGACCTGTACTGTTGTATTAAAGGGGCGAAGGATCAAGCCACCCTCAACTCCACGACTTCTGCACACGAAAACAGACTAGGCTACACGGCCCATGTACGCAAGTCATGGAGTCCATGTGGGTGTGGTCAATGAACGAAAATTCCGGGCCATTCCATGCTGAGATGTAAAGTATATCTCCGAAGGGGTTTAAGATGCGCGAACCCCAACAAATGACTGGTGCGTATGACACTTCGACGAGTTTCAGATCTTACATACACAGGCTGCTGTTGCGTCCAGGATATTTGGGATTCGGCGTTCCCCATTCTTACTAAGCCCAGTTGGGCTCACCAGCAGGAGAAGGAAGTGATTGGGCAACCTGAACCGAAGCAACCCCCCTATTTTGATTTATCTGCATCCACATTCACCACATCCTCTCATTCGATAGAGGCCCAGCCTTTCGCGTCCTGTTTCACCGTGACACTCAGATAGTTGGGATACTGCATGCGATGTGGGCACTTTGGCTTTGTACGGACGCGAATAGAATCTCTGGTCGGCTTCAATTGGCCAACTTGCTACGCACTGGGACCAAGTTCGCCAACTCTTTCCAAATCGACCAATGTGCCAAGACCTTGCCAAGGTCTATCCTGCTTACCACGAGATGGTACGGTACCATTAGGATACTAGGATTAACACGTGGCACCGTGGTCCCATACTGTTCTGTGGTAGTACCATCGTTCCTCGATGGGCCAATTCAGGACCTCGCTGCCGCCGTCTCTATGACTTTCTGGAAAAACGTCGAGCCTAAGAAGTCCGGAGCCGATGTACGGTAGTCTTCGACTCAATGATCAATCCTGGATCCAAGAGGACCCGAGGAAGACGGAGCTATGGATGTTCGGTAGAGTGACCAGGCCAATCGACTTCCGGATGATTCTTTGGCCCTGAATTGCTGTGATTCAGCCCCAAAAACCAGCAGAACTGGTGGAGGAAGTAGTGTACTGTACCTACCGGGTTAATTGTCATATAAAAGACCACATCGTTATAAGGCCCCTTTGCATATAAGATACCGTTCAAAATAACGGTTTTCAGACGTAGGCCATAATTAGACTGTAAGATATGGGTCCTAGTACAGAGGTCTGCACCGAAAGTCCTGCACCCGCCAAGACTCTTGCGCTTAGACTTCGGATAACGCCCCACCTAAAGGGTTATCTGGACAATACGTCTGGAGTTCTTCGGAATCGCACCTAGCCTTAGCTAGGTTTCGGGGCTTAATACCCCTATCAAGCTAAAAGAAGTACCTAAAGTCCCATCCATGCGCTGTGAAATATATTTCTAGGCTTCCCCTCTACAGGGCCGCTTTCCGAAAGTAGGGTTAGGGCTACACTAGTGCGTGTGCAGGACTTTCGGTGCAGACCTCTGTAGCCTGCTGAGTAATGGTACTTAATCGTACTAGGCCCCCAGGGCAAAATCAGGAATATCCATTCAAGTCCATTGGGAATCTATTGAGTAAACCCTCACAGTAGCAAGGCAAGTAGAATAATGAGTAGTCGGAGTAGGTACAGGCCATTTGCGGTACACTACGCCCCCAAATCAGGTACCATCCCCCGTACAGAGGTATTTTCCCGTCTAACAAGGGCGTCTCTCCGAGCTCTCTAATTGGCGACAGTGAGCTTAGTAAGACCATTGACTAGCGCCTTAGGCCATACGATACCACAGTGTTATAAGGCCCCTTTACATATAAAATACGGTTCCAAACGATGATCAGATGGACGCTTCGGCTATATGGTAGTATCTTATATGCCAATTAACCCGGTATGTTATCTTCTCGCGTCTCCGGCCGTCCGGGACCAAGTGGGGCCCAAAAATAGCTTGGCGTACCTTCGGGAGGAAAGGGGCAATCCCGAGCTCATCCTTCTCCCTTCTCCGCGTGAGTGCATTTAATCAAGTACTCCGTAGAGCTAAGCGGGCCATATGCAACACCCTGGAAAGGGAAAAGGGGTTTACTCTAGATATCTTGGAAAGTGGGGGCACACAGCGACTTGCGACTTGACGCCCGGCGCCGCGAACTGATTTCCGTGAGCCGATAGGTAGTCGATAGTCAGCACTAGATATGTCGTGTCATGCATTTCATAGCATACATATGCACTCATCCGTCACTATCAACATTGGGGCCGATTGTTGCTGGATGGAAGAAAGGCGGGGGAGCTGGGATGTGATGATGACGACGAGGCGGAGATCTCTGCTTCATGAGGTTAGTAATTTCTAACCCGTCCACAACATGTAAAGGTGGAAAGACCATGGATGCAGATTGGAGCTTCACGCATCGTCGGCGCCGGTGCACCTGTTCCTACCGTGCTTACTACCGTGCTTAGCAAGTCATATCTTAGCAATTTAGTAGTACAAGTACCTTCTCTTGGCAGAACATCCAAACATTACTGTCCTTGCAACGCATTAGCTTCTAGCTAACAAAACGCACGATAGAACTTCGCGCGACCTATGAAACTCCAGATCTGCTTAAAAAAGAATCGCGACGCTGAAATTTTGCTGCAGGTCGCTTTATTATTGAGTGGTGCCGTAGTGAAAGTCGGCAGCCCCTGAATCCTACTACCTGCCGAGAGACGAGATAAACTTAGCCCCACACACCATCACGGGATGGGAGCAGGCACTCTTCACTCGGACCTACTGAGCATTGGGAACATTCTGTTGGATGTTGCCATGTGTGATGTGAAAAACGTGGAAAGAGAAGACGCGATCGAGGGATCTCGATACGACTTTCTGCTCGCTGAAAGCGCGTAGCCTTGTCCGTATGCCTAAGCTGTGCATGCGAGTATTTTATCACAGCAGTCAACATGTTCTCCTCATTTCTTATGCCTGACTCCAAGGTTTCAGGTCGGTCTGGAGAACAGCTATCGAACAGGAGTTCCAATATATATATCCATCTCGTATCCGCATCAATTTCAATCCCTCCGTACCCTTCCAAGCATGGCCGCAACAAAGCCGACCATCCTCCTCATCCCCGGCGCCTGGTTCCACCCCTCAACCTACGATGCTTTCCTCTCCCGCCTCCAACACCTCTCCTTCCCCACCGCATACGCTTCCTATCCCTCCCTGAACCCCTCCCACCCCGCATCCGCCGACGCAGCCGCCGACACCGAAACCGTCCTCAAGCGCTCTCTCCTCCCCCTGATCGAGACCGAAGGCAAGGACGTCGTCATCGTGATGCACTCCTACGGCGGCGTGCCCGGAAGCGGCGCGGCGCGGGGATTAAGCAAGGTGCAGCGGAGTGGCGAGGGGAAAAAGGGGGGGGTTGTGGGCCTGGTACACATTTCCGGGTTCGTCTTGCCCGGCGGGGCGAGCGTGGCGGACGGACAAGGGGGCGAACTGCCCGGATGGGTGAAACAAAACGAGGTCCCGTCCACCGTCTCTTCTAGCTAGCTCGCTACCACCATCATCCCTCCCCTCCATCTCGTCGTCTCTCCGCCCGCAATCCCCACTCCCGCTCACCTTCACAGCCATCCCCCGGCCTCACCATGCCCGCAAACCCCCTCGCCATCCTCTCCGCCGACATCGACCCCCCCGTCGCCGCGGCCAACGCCTCCCGGCTCGTCCCGCACGCGCTGCTGGCCTTCAAGTCCCCCGCCCCGGCGCCCGCGTGGACGGGCCCGGGCTTCGAGCGGAGGCTGGCCTACCTCGTGTGCACGGAAGACGAAGCGATACCCAAGTTCGGCCAGGAGGCCATGATGCAGGGGACCGGGGTGGAGTGGGCCGTGCGGGAGATGGCGGGGAGTCACAACGCTCCGTTTTTGAAGAAGGCGGACGAGACGGCTGGGGCGGTGGACGCGTTCGTGGAGGGGTTTTTGAAGTTGGGAACGTGAGGGGCGGAGACGAGGCCTCGGGAGGAATCGCCACGGTGGGATTGTGGGTTCGTGTGCCGCGCTCTACATATCAATATGAATTTTCACATAAATTCATACACTCGCCCTCTACCAGCGTATGACTCGTCTTCCGATACCGTCTCTTTCAGAGCCATGGCATTCTTTCGTCCCGCCTGCCGACGCCTGTACATTGCTACTGTTTCTACACCAGGTCTACTTCGCACAGACACGGGATTCCTCTTGGTGTTGGAGTACGATCGATGCCTATCCAGGCCTACGAGCCCCGGCGCACATCCGGCCCAGTCATATATACCCTTATTCAGCCGTGCCTGTGACGATATAAGTCGAGTAACTGCTGACGAGGGAAGTAAATGAGTTCATGGTTTCTAGTGGACAGCCAATCCTGCATCAACCGTTCTACACAGTGGACATTTGTCGCATTCTCCCGACTAAGGAAATGACCAATTTTTAGAAAGTGACAGTCCCTCCTCTTTCCCCACCCACCCACTTCCAATCTCACCCCCAACGATGCCCAGTCACCGAGACAAGCTAAAGCTTCGCCCTCCCCCCCTCCCCCGCACCCACCCCCAACTCCTCCACCGAAACCATCCTCGCCCCATACACCTCCTCCGCAAAGCTCTCCCATTCCGCCACCCCCGCCCGCAAATTCCCCACGCATCCCTTCACCACGCTGATCCAGAACCCCTTCTGGAACCCCGACCGCGCCGTCGCGTCCACGCACACGTCGCCGTACAGCCCCGCCAGCAACAGGTGCCGGACGCCGCGGGCGCGGAGGTGGGGCTCGAAGGCCGGCAGCAGGAAGGGGTCGAAGAGGGCGTGTTTGTCGAAGACGCGCTCGGTGGGGAGGGGGGCGATGGGGGGGATGAAGGCGGCGCCGGGGGTGCCGGGGACGCAGTTGGCGGGGCGGGCGGAGCGGGTGGTCCAGGGGGTGGGGTGGTGCGAGGGGGGGCTGAGGAAGCGGATGTGGATTGGTTCTATGTCTTTGATTGAGGGGGAGGTCGAGGTGGGGTTTGGAGACGGGGAGGGAAGTGCTTGGGTCTGTGCGGTGCGGATGTGGGAGAGCAGACGAGAGATGTTGTTGGTGATGGTGGGGAGGGATGGAGAGGAGGCGTTGATGGAGGCGGCGAAATCTTGTTGGAAGTCGATGATTAGGAGGGCTGTCTTCAAGCCGAGGGTGGGGAGGTGGGGGTTTGGTGTTAAGGTTTCGGGCGTGGTGGGTATGGGTGACGGTCGTCGGGCGAGCGAGAGAGAGGTTGGTTGGCTGTATAGGTTTGCGAGGTGATGAAGGATAGCTGAGACGTAGGCAGCGGTGGTGGAGGTGCCGCCTTGGTCTGGCGTGCAGTTTTTCTGTTGGGCCATTGTTTCGATGGCGTTATTCATGTTGGATTCTACGCCTTTGCATCGACCGTGACGTTCGAGGATTGCAGCAGCTGCTTTCAGGGTTGCGGATGGATTTACAATTCCCTTGCCGGTAAGGTCGTCCGCGGAACCGTGAACGGTTTGGTACTCCACCAACTCGCTCGTTGGAGGCGATAGGTAGACGTTCTCGGAATAGCTGGTCTCTTGAACACCCTGTCCGAACATGTCAAGGAACAGTACTTCCATGATGTCTGCGTACTCATTGCCGGCGATGATCAACTGATGCCCTTGAACCCCGAATGCGAGTATGTTTCTGTTCATTGTGTCCGGCTGGATGAATTGGATACTCAAACCATGCTCCTGTGACCACTCTCGGGCCCAGACGTCGAAAATGCCGTCAAAGAGATGATGCTTGTAAACCAATGTCAAAGAGTCGATCTTGGTGTTCTCGCCCCAGCATCTACGGGCCCGGGATAGAGAGTAAGTAACGATGCGATTGAATATGGCCTTGTCGAATTGACATGAGCGCGAAACTGCTAGCGCGTCCAAGGAGTAAGTATTCGACCCAGTATAGAAGCCCTGAGCTTGATCACGGATGAGAAGGATTTCTGCCGATTGCTTGTGGAAATGTTCAACTTTAACAGCTTCCAAATGCTGTCTGACCAAATACAATGATTGCGCGGTGAAAGCCGTTCGAAAAATGACATTGGTACCCTGCGCAGCCTGCTTTCTACAGAAGTCTTCATAATGCGTTGCGTCCAGCGCTGTCTCATCGCGAATGTGCTGAAGGTCATATCCAGCTGAGAAAAGCGAGTGATACGAATGATAGATTCGCGACGATTGGTAGACTTTTACCTGAACGCTGAAATGACGGGCAAGCTGATTGAGTACTTTGACGAACACATCGGCTAATTCTGGGCCTGTACCTCGGCCAACCGCAACGCCTACCTCCAGGATGTCGGTCTTTGGTATCATTGTTGTTTGCAACAAGACTTTTGCATTCGATAGTCTTGCATGTAGAAGGTACTCGAAGCCAGGACACTTTGATAGTGGGTCCTGACAAACTTCTCAATGGTTCGGTCGGTCGGTCCAAAGCCCTGGACTGGTCCACACTTATCTGCTTTCTTTTGTTTGGCGAGGATATCTTCGAGGACACATGCGAAGGTGTGAGGCACTCTTTTAATGCAGGTTAATGTTGCCTTGTTTGAAATGAAGTCTGGGTATAACGGTTCCACTACTTCAGTATTCAAGGGTGTGAAAAAAATTCTATAATGCAGGTCAATTTTGTTGTGCTTTGAGACAATTCCGCAGGAAATGGATTCTACTGCTTTAACACTTAAGGGTGTAAATATGAGCCTTCTATGCAGGTTAGAGTTGCTCTGTTTCGAACCAATACTGCAGCCGAGTGACGCATCCGACTACTTCAATCATTAAGGGTATGAAGAGCACTCTTTCATGCAGGTCAAAGTTGCTGTCTTTCGAGGCAATCCTGCAGAAAATAGATCCGACTTCCTGGGTCAGAAAACGGATCCGATTTCCTCGGTCAGAAAACGGATCCGATTTCCTCGGTCAGAAAACCGATCCGACTGCTTTGAAGAAAAAGTATTTTCTTCGATGCAGAGGCGCGAACAAGGATAGGCTAGAGTAAAAGAGGAAACTCATGCGATGCAATACTTTGTATCACTAGCGTACCCACTAGTCAGATCTCACTGCATTTCGCATGATGCACGGGTGCATGGCTAGTGCGATAATTGCATCGGCGAGGCGAGTAATACTTTTCTAGCATCCTTTGCACCCCAGTCTACCACCATTTTCAGAGCCTTGCAGATCATCTTCTCATTCCAAGTCTTCTGACCGCTGGGCTGCCTGAAAGACCATATTTCCCATCACATTTCGATGATGGCGTTGAGCAACGTGAGTCCCGACTTCAATCTAGCAGATGGACGTGGATATATGCTAGGCAGGAGCTATGCTGCTGCCTCGCGCCTGAATTTCCAGCATTATCTCTGGAAAGAATCACTCCATTTCAGCCTCCATCCTTCCATATCCATTCCGACAGATGCCCGTATTGCCGACGTCGCAACAGGAACAGCGATTTGGCTTATAGACGTTGCCCGTGAGTATTCGACAGCGAAGCTAGATGGCTTCGATATCAATACATCCCAAGCGCCACCTAAACAATGGCTGTCTCCAAATTTCACATTGAAGACATGGAACGTTTTCGACCCTGTACCGGAGTCCATGATAGGCGTCTATGACGTTGTTCACGTCCGATTACTTGTACTTGTCGTGCAGAATAGTGACCCAAGACACATTCTTCGTAATCTTCTTCGAATGCTCAAACCCGGCGGTTACATCCAATGGGATGAACTCAACTACCCTGGTACACATGTCAGAACTAGCAACAGTTCCTTACACACTCCAGCCTTGCATGAGCTGCGAGAGATGGTGTATTCGCGGGGCAGAAATGATTGGACGTTACAATTGCCCGATTTTTTCGCCGAGCAAGGCCTGCTGGATACCATGATCTATCACTTCCAGGACCCACCAGAATTAGCAAGGGCGAATGGCGAGCAGCACTTATTGACGATGGAGGAGTTCGCATCAAGTCTTGCAAAAACAGACCACAGAGAGGAGGCGACAAAGATTTTTAGCCTTATACAAGACGTGGGCCAAGAGGTCTTGAATGGAGCTGCCTTGTCCATGCCAAGGGTGGTCTGTGTAGGGAAAAAAGCAAGCGGGGAAACCAGGCGTGAGTAACATTGTTTACTTCCACGTTAGATCTCGCAATGCATGTTCCTGAGCACCATTTCATCAACCAAGTCCAACAGCAGATCTTCCCATCCCATGCCTATACGTACTTGTGACTAATGATGATTAGAGTAGCGTGTCAATGGTACAAAGCCAACATCGGTCCTCGCTTGAAGCCAAAGATAAGAAAAGTGTATGAGACTTGGGCTGGATTTACGGACAGTGAGCTTATTCCCCATCTGCATCGAATAGTGAGTACCCCGACGAGATTTGCACTTCTGTCGTTGCTATTTAACAAGCCTACTAGCGAGACAGAGCATGGCTGCACGGTGGCTACCCATGCATCGGAGAATGGGTCTTCCTACTGCCGAGTATCTCAAGTTTTCCCGAGTATCCCGAAGTCCTAGCACGAGCACTGGCTGGAGATACCATCCTGGATCTGGGCTGTGGTCTGGGGCAGGACTTGCGGCTCTTGGCCGCGGATGGAACATCCCCACGGAACATGTATGCAAGCGACATCAGCAGGGAGCTGTGGGATCTGGGTTTTGAACTGTTCAACGACCGAAACAAGATGGTGGCAAATTTCCTACAGACGAATATCTGTGATACCGGCTCTGGTCTAGAGCAGTGGAAGGGAATGTTCGATATTATCATCGCAAATCAATTCTTCCACCTGTTCGACTGGGAAGGGCAGGCATCGATAATGAAGAGGGTGGTTGAGCTTTCAAAGTCCGGAACTATTCTCATCGGGTATCAACGTGCGCAGGTGCCTCCGAGGGAGCTCGACAGACCGTGGGGGAACATGTTTTTCCATGATGACGAAACTTTTCGAAAGCTTTGGCAAAGAGTGGAGTTGGAAACGAAAAGCAAATGGGATCTGGAAGTCAAACTTGTGGATTTAAGAGAGTGGGGTATGGAGGAGGAGGATATTGACTGGATGCCGGAGGGTAGGAAAGGTATCAACTTTGTGGTTAGAAGACGAAGTTGAGAGAGCCTGAGAGGCGGGGTGTGACTTGGCCAGCAATAGAACAAAAAGGTGACCAGAGATCCAGAATTTCGAGGTACTAGTGCTGGACAACGATCCCTTGTAGCCATCACCCAAGAGGCTTTGTGTTGCCATTTTCAGCAACATATTACTTCTGTCGTGACTCGTGATTTTCGTACTCGCGCTGTCCAGAAGTGATATACTTAGTAAGACGAGGACACCAATAGATCGAGCGACATCCGGCTAAGTGGAAGGATCTATTGGTGTCCTCGTCCTATCAAGTATCTTCTTTTCTGGACAGCACGAGTATTCTGGTGGCTTGGCGCTGATCTTGGCATCAGTCTTGGCATTGCGGCACAGAAAGCAAGCTTCGACGACATGCCATTGTAGCTTCTTCGTGCGACTACATTGTACTGTACTCCGGCCTGGGAAGAGGCTGCTGAAGGTACAGGGAGAACGTAAGGAGAAGCTGTGAGCCTTTGGACTGTTTGAAGAGTAAGGAATGAGCGAGAAGCTTCATCGCTTTCAGAGCGATCACATTGGTGATCAAGGGCAGTCGGGGATGATTTGGATATTTCAATTGCTATGAGAAGGCTGTGCCACGCCGGACATCGAAAGCCTTGTGACAACAGCTCGTACAAAGAGAGAAAAACACATAGCCAACGCAAGAAGAACTTCTCGCTTCCGGATCCAACGCGCGAGCCCGTTCCTTGAAATCATGCTACCATCCACCGTCCATTCTCAGCGGAACCTCATAACAACATGAAACAAACAGTCTCTGCGCAGCCTTCCTTGGTACAACCGATATACAACAATCACTATCTTTCATCCACCTCTCGGATCTCCGGGTACAGCTGTACAGGGTCGGCCGAAGATAGAGAGAGTGTGTTGGAAATCATGCGTCGCAATCAGTCAGTACTAAAAGCAATGAAGATCGACCAGCAGACATCATACATCGTGGTCAGTCAACGCTAGAAGCATGGTAGCACAACCAGCGGACATCACACATCGCATTCAGTCAACACCAGAAGCATCACAAGCCATTCCGGATCGTTGTATACGGATATCAGGAATTCGGCGGGAAGTTTGCGGGGATTGGGTCTAGTCCTGCAGCATTGGGTCCTCCGCTTCGGCTTGGTAATCCGACTGTAGCTTCTTCAGCCAATTTTCCCAACAACCTGTGTCATCCGCCGGTAAATCAAGCTCCATGTTCATAATTTCCTCGATGAAGTCAATTTCGTCTCCGTCCCGCAGCATACCCCTCACTTTCGCCGTATGCTCCTTCGTCCATCCAGTGGGCATTTCAGGGATCCCGGTTTTGTGGTTGGTCTTCAATCTCTCCACGTATTTTCCCACTCCTTCAATGGCGGAGACGTTACCATACTCGCGGTTGAGCAACGTGATAATTCGGTCAGCGCTTGTATGGCCCTTGTTCAATAGAACTTCGACGAAACTCGTCATTCCCGCTGTCCAACCCTTGGGCTGGTCAGAGCGAGAGCCATGTCCGGGTTTGACCTCCTGTCTTAGCATCTCTAGGAACTTGTTCAGACCTTGGATGTCATCCGTCTCCAAATCGTAGTTCAATCTGAGGAACTCGCCGAGGAAGTCGAGGCCAACGTCACTGTTGCGTCGCAACTCATCCATCACAGCGTTCGTCATCAGGTCTGTCCAGCCTATGGGCTTGTCAGAGTTATGATCATGCTGAACGGAACCCCCTGAACCTCCTTGCTGGATGACGGAGCCCTGCTCTTGTGGGTCTGGTTGCTGTGCTTGGGTCGACTCTGGCGAAGGTACAGTTTGCCGCGTAGCGAACGCTTGATGCGCAAGCAGGCGACCTTTGGATGCATTGAAACGACCTCGGCCTCGGATGTTGTTTTTAGGTCGCTGGAACGTGGGTTCGGAGACTGGCCCAGCAATCCCGTTGTCGTCTTGGAGGCCTGGAAAGGGTGACTGTTTAACAACAGAATACGTGCGCGAAGTCTTTGCTGCTATATCTGTAGGTCCAGTAGTTGAAGTTCTGTTGTTTTTGGGAACCGGCTCTGGGACGGCGGCTATAGTTGCTTTCTCAGACGATGTTGGTAATTTCAACAAAGCCATAATGTCTGCAAAAGGTTGACGGTGGTCTTTCTTGGCCGCTGTTGATCGATCTATTAATCCGCCATTCTGTGCATTGTTCATTGGCATTGATGGATTATCTGTGAATGTGTCAGCTATTATCAAGGGCTGGAGGAGAGAGAGT